CTAGTGTTGTACCATCCCTATACTCCGTGTCCAATCCCATGCCCAAAATCAAAAATTCCAAGCCCGCCTTTGGTTGTGCCCAACCCCATGTTGCAGGTCAAAAGAAAACTCCGCGCTTGCGCTGTGGTGTGTCTGTTTTACAAATTCTTTTCGGCCGTTTTAATCGTGCGCGGTACATCGGGTCGATAGTTCGCCGCCTAGTTTCGTGATTCCTCACTTTCGCATCGCAGATGCTATGACTCTACGGCTTCTTCCAGCCAAGCTTTCTAAACAGGCTGCCTTTGCGTCCGTTGCTCTGAGCCGACGTGACGGGCGAAAGGTCGCCACCGCTGTGGGAAAGCATGCTCTCGGCATCGTCTCTGCTCATGCGTCCCGCGGCCGGCAGACTAGACTGGCTGGTGTTGGACGGGACATCTGCTTCGAGGATGGCGGCTTCGGCTTCGGCTAGGGCTTCGCTGCTGTAGAGTGCTTCCATTTGAGGAGTGATGCGTCCATGGCTGATGGTGCGTCTATGCTTTTGCAGGAAAGAACGTCGTGTACGGGCTCGATTTCCAGCGAGATCCTCCTGCGAAATGACTGCGTTGGGCGAAAGGTTGGCGTCGGGATGCGGGAGCGTAGTGTTGCGTTCTATATTGCTTAGTAAATGGGCCATAGATTTTGCGCCTCATTCAGAAAACTTACCTCCGTTAAAAGGCTCAGGGAAGCCAGTGTCTCGAAGACTAGCCTGGCTCTTGGTCGACGGACTTCTTGGTGTGTTGGTCATTGTGTGAGGCTCTGCGCGAAGATACGATCTTAGTTTATTGTGGGGGAACCGATGGTGGAAGATCGACGGTAATAAAGTGGTGGGAGGTCAGGTAGCGGTCGCAGCGGGGAGTTTTTTGGGGCCAGTATTCAGTGGAATAAAAGCGTTGGAGGGGGGTGGTAAATAAGATGGGTAGAAGCCCGGGGGGGCAAATAGTAGACCGCAGGTGGGTGAGAGAGGCTGCTCCCTTTGTTGGGGGTAGGTAACAGAAAACTGTTGCAGAATAACTGGAATTCTGAATAATAGAGAGGAAGGAACAAAGAAGTTTTGGGAGATAGAAAGGTGAGAGGAAAATAGAACAGGGCGAGACGCCGTCGGGATTTCTTTGCTGAGGCAGTTCGGTGATGAGTGTTGCCGTTTGATCCTTTAGCGTCTTGGGCAATTACGAATCCCCTCCCGAATAAGACGAGACCAGTTAATGAGACCGGAACGGCAAGGTCAGGAACGAGACGAGAGCAGCAGCAGCAGCAGTAGCAGTTATGAGCAAATGAGAATGCGAGACTCCGCACCGGTAATCCGCCTCTGGGCGTTCTCTTTTCGCTCAATAGTGTGAATGGAACACAGTAGCTGGAATTAACCGCGGGAATGGGGCCTCAGATGGGGAGGGGTGGGATAGTCACGGTATTTAGAGCAGGTTGCAGTCAGAAGAAGAGTGGCCACTGGCCTATGCTTTTTTGGCTCTTCTTGTTTTGCCGCATCTGGAAACACGTAACCGTCGTTCCGCCTCTTGGATTTCCTGTGCACGGCGGGTAACGAATGGCCCCGGTGTAGGAGACTTAGAGGGGATCCCTACGAGGTCTGACTTGCGTGCCCTGGTGTTTCTTGTTCGCTCTCGCTCCATCGCTGGGTGCTGCGCTGTTCGTTCGCTCGGGCTCGGCCTTCCGCTTGCAAAGGCACAGTCGAGCGCAGCAGCAGCGATGAGATGACTGGGCCGCAGCAAAGCACAGCAATGCCAGCCAGTGACTAGGGGTGGCAGGGTAGTACGGCACGAGAGGCGGGGAAGAGCTAACAAATGTTCGAGGACATGCAGCCTTAGACATAGAAAGAAACGCAGAAGCCGGAGCACTAAACTCGCTCAGAGACACACACCAGCGGTGAAGTTTGGACGGATACTTTTAGCTGGTTGTTTTGCTTGGTCTGCAGAAACACTTGAGCAGCAACTTGCAGTAGCCAGCAGCTTATAGCCAGCCAGCGGCAGCCTGGGATGACCTGCATGAGGGACTCGGGCACACCATGCGCACATGGAAGTCATGACGATTGGTGTTTGGCAGTGTCATGTTCCGAACTCTGATGGTGCCACACCATTCTCAGGCTTCCATGGAAAGTTGCCGAGAAAAAATAGTCCCAACAAAAAAAATACTAACAAACGGTGCAAGTGAAGAGAAATGTAGAGTGTCCTGAAGGTGGAGGAGACTCCGTTCTGCGAGAGAGAGAGAGAGAGCACGGGAATCCCGGCGGCGGAGCACAGTTTCCTCTCTTGAGCATCGTGGAATGACGAGTGGACGACAAGGGTTCCGAGCAAACGGAAGAGGGGACTGAGTGGGTTGAGAAAATGGAAAGAAAAGAAGAGGCGAGGAATGGAGATTGGTGTGCTTGGGGGACGGACAAGAAACTGAGAGACATGGCAAACATGGGAAAATGGCATGGCTTACCTTGGGCGACGAAGGCCATTGGTGCGATGTGTGCCGGTATTCCGCTCGGTTGAGAGCCAGAGCGTCAGCGGTGGAACCCTCTTGAGGAATAATCCTGTCTTGGGTAGGCGGTAGGATAGGCGGGGAGTCTGGGCAAGACAGCGCAGCGCAGCGGGACGGAGAGTTGAATCCGTGTTAACCAAGCGCTCAGCTGTCTGTGGTATGTTCTGGGCGGGTTGACTGGATGTCCCAATGATATTGCTTTTGCGTCGAGTGGCAGAATCAGAATGACGAAGACGTCGAGGGGTCCAAAGTGGTCTCCACTGAACAAGCGCGCGGTAGGTGATACAAGCTGGGTTTTGTGCCGAAGATGATGGTGAAGAAGAAACTGAAGAGGTTGAGTACGAATTCTTGACAAAGAGTATCTTCTTGGCCCAAGCTGTTGTCGTCGAGAGTCGAAGCTGAAACGGCTTTGCGGGGATAGGTAGAATGGATGTGGGAAGGTATTCGCAGGTTGCAAGGTTCGAGAATAGGTGAGAAGCTTGGATGTTGCGGAATGTCGAGTCGAGGAGGTGTGTCTTGTCAGAGAAGAAGATACGACAATCTCAGAAAAGTATATTTTTCAAGTTTGGAGGCGGGGATCTCGAGTCAAAATGTTGTGGTTTGCGTTGACTGTTGACGTGCGGTTCGTTATGCCGAAAGTGGGGAGGAGTGATGGCATTCAAGTACAGATAGAAGTTCAAGGAAGGTGCGGTGCAAGTGGTGGTCAAGGTTGTTCTTTCCCAAGTTACGATGCGAACCGTGGACTGTGTCAACCTCGCGGGCAGGCGGCATCCCCGTTGTTTATATCGTCTAGTGCTATTGCCCTCCCTCATTTGGACGGGAGTGACTTGGAGAGAAAGTTGGAAGGCCGCGACCGGTGAGGTCAGTTTTGTCAATCACTCTACTACCATGTTGCATGTCTGAGTGCAGAGGAAGGGATTAGTTGACAGTGATTGACACCAGTGACCGAATTGATCACCGGCGTAGCATCTCAAAGGGGCGGCCCCCCGCCAGGTGTACCCGGCCGGTCGGTCATATCCGTCCCACGGGCTTGAAGAGGTACCCAGCCGCGCCTTTCCCAACCGGGAAAAGACTTCCAGGGTTTAACGCCATTTAGCACCTCGTAGTCGCTGTCCCAAAACCGCGATCCCCATCACATCGTAATATGGCACCTGTCCGGCAATTGTCTGTGACTTTTTTTTTCTGTTGGTGTTGTTGTTGATGATTCTTTTCGAGCTATCGCCCGTGTGTTATTCTCATCCACCAGGCTCTGACAATTCTCATGGGTGTCGACTCATGACATGCCCCGGCCTCTAGCATGCAGGATAGAAAAAGGCTTTCTTGCTACTGGCCCCAGTCAACTGCCACGATTGGTGTTCGGGACATACTACTCGTGCAACACCAAAAACCTGTCCAAACGCAGCTGTCATCAAGAGTCAAAGCAAGGGCACCAGGAAGGAGAGAAGGTTGTTTTTGAGGGAACCCAAACATCTCCCCTCAAGGCTCAACGTCTCCATACTTCATACACCGCAACCGAGAGTATCCGGGTCAATCGTCACTGTCCCCAATGTCACCTCGTTTCCCACATGAATTAGCGTTCCGACGATCCAGCGATGCCAATCAAACCCCACGGTTGGGCGCTCACCCGATGTCTCGGTGTCTCATTGCCGGCTCCCTCACTGGCCTCCAGGGAGACGACTGACTCTTTTACTCACTAACGTAATCATCTCACGACTATTGCAAAGCAACATCGTGAGGCCAGCTAGCAAGACACAGCTCCCCGTGACTTGTTGCTGACCGGCACACGGCACACGGCAGACCATGAGGTTAGCTAGCAATACTAACTTCAAGACTGACAAGTCGTCGACTTCCCAAGCCTCAACCGTCCACGTTTGTACTAGCTCTTGGCGCCGAGCTTGGCAAGCGGCGCAAGCCTACCCCAGCTCAGCCCAACGCGCAGCGTCGCAGAGCCTAGAGGGGGACCGCACTCTAAATCCAACTATGCTTAGAACTCTCATTTACCGCTCCCTTGCCCACAAAGCTGTATCGGTACTAGGCGATGAAGAGTCCCCTAGTGTGTAAGTGTATGTACACTACTCCGTACTCCGTAGAGATCGGGCACGTCTTATTTGAGGCCTTATTCATTCTCTCCGGAAAGTCTGTTGGCCCGCGGGTGCCATGCTCCATGGAAGAACAACAAGAACCCTTTTCTTGCCTTTTCTCCATGGGCCACCGTTGCTGGTATCCACTCCAATGGGCACCCTTTCTTGCGCCTTCTTCTCTCAGCTGGAAAGGGGACCAGCAGTGTCCCACAGCCAGGCAGTTTTCCCTCTCTCTCGCTGAAATCATTCGTAAGCATCCCTGCCCCTTCTGCGCCTACTATAGGCTATACTCCATTGGGACAGATCCCATCACTGTTGAGGACCGGAAGAAAACTGCGGCGATGCGGCGGGCGGAGGTGGGGTACCTAGGTATTTTACATTCTGCATTCTCCCACCGGAAGGGACCCTGACGACCTGAACAAAATGGGTGGAGCAGGCGCCTTGCCCGTGATTGGTCAAAGCGTAAACCACCCCGCGCCACACATCGAGTGGATACTTGGAAGCTGCGCAGTGATTCGTTCTCAGCCACAGTTGGGAACCATTCCGCGTTACGCGGCCTCCGATCTTGCTGTTTCTGGAAAATGTGAAGAGTTCAAGTTTCTTATCCAAGTTTCTGCCCACCAACCAAACGCTATGAAATACATTCGTCAAGGAAAGCCACAGGCTTCTCGGCGTTCCGTCACTGGAGACCTTCCAAGCCTCTCCCAGGCGCCGAACACCCGAGCCGGAGACCGTCTTCCCATTCTCCACTACGCCGCCACTCCAGTCATGAATCTTCCAGCAGGACAAGCTCTTCAAATGTCTCCAGCCAGCAGGCCCCACCCCGTGGTCATTCAACTCCACAACGCACACGAATCCCGTCGCCGCCGCCGTCACCATTTGCCCGTTGCGAATCCCGCTGACCCTCGGCTTGATTTCAATCTCTGATCGCTACCAATTCCGTGAACCGAATGCTACTGTCTTACCGGAAAACCTGGGGAAAAGGAAAGGTTTTCAGGATATCTGGCATTTTGGCCCGCCAAATGGCATGTTCTCACAGTATGTGCTGTGTGCAGTTCATGGCGGCGAAAACGTAAAAGACAATGTGCAGATCACGGCCCAACATCCCACGAACCCAAATCTCAGTGACGGGCTCCACTGGAACGTTGACGTCTCTCGTTCCGTTCCCAATCTTATCGTGCCCGGGAGTGTCCTATCTGCGCATGTCCCTTCTCCCAGGCATGATCTAGCATTCCCTACGCCCACAGCCATCCCATTAATCAATTGCGTTCCTGAGATATCCACTTTTTCTTTACCACGACAAGCTACTGAGACAGATATCAAATAACCTCAGGTAGCGTTCCTTGTAACAAGAGCTGAGTTGAGCTGAGGCCAACCCGTTCTAGACCATGGTTGGATATCCTAGGTTGAATGAGGAAAGCTCGTGAACGATACAGTTCAGATGGCTTGACTCCCGTCGGGCAGTCATCTCTAGTACTCTACGCACTGACACGGTACTCTTGACCACTGCAGTCTGAGAGAGAGGGCTCATTTTCGTCGTTCTCTCTACTCTCGCTGCCCAGCCATCTAGCTTTAGCTGTTGGGCGTCTGCACGTGCGAAGAATAACCTGCAGCTGCGATTTGAAATGTTTGCTGTGCGCTCCCCTCGTACTTGGCTTAGTCTTCTTTCCCCGGCTTCGCCATATGCCGAGGTGGCCCGCTAGACGAGTCTAGACTATGCTTTGAACTATGGACAATCAGATTTGAGATTGAGGCACCACGATGCGGTGCGGCTTTTGCCGAGTGGTCAAAGACTTCACGCAAAGAGGCTGTTATCCCGATAGGGGTGTCGACTTGAGATCACGACCTCGGCTGTTCTTGGTGTCCACGTGCTCGTTCTTCACGCAACGTGCATCGCAACGCTTGTCCAGATCAATCCGAATGTTTCTTGTCCAGGAACTCTATGGAATCATTCATTGGCAGCCAAGTTGATGTGCCGCTGTTGCAGGCTCTACTATCCGGGTAACTCTGATCAGTTTCAACGTTTACGAGTCTTTCAGAATAGGTTCTCACTTTGCTTTGAGCCTAACATGAGAAGCCCGCTGTGCCCCAGTATAATTCAATGATAAACATCGTTGCTTCTCGAGACAGTAGGCACGGTCCGAGCTCTTCACAATCAGAGCCGCGTCATGTTGAGATGAAAAGTTGACGTTATTCGCCCCCCATCAGTCGGGGCGCTATAACTATATCTATACTCAGATTATTCGGTTCAAGAGACGATGATTGCTCCAGGTACGCCATATGCCTCACTTGAAACCATGCGCAAGGAATTGCCCTGCTTTATACAAGCGTTCAAACACCCAGGTCCCCTCATGTTAACCCAATACGGTTCCAAAAGCTGTGCCATACATTCAGGCTATCAAGCTGCGGACAACGAACCCCTTCCTAATGCTGTTTGAATTCTCAAATCTAGCCTGTGGCATGAGCAAATGGCTACAAACAATATCACGTCAGAGTCGTTCATCACATACCGTTCACTATATTGTTACGGTTGAAGGTGAAAGTCCGTTCCGGCAATTTCGATAGATTTTCTCCGGGCTAAAATGCGTCACTGGGATATGGCTTGGCTAACGGGACGATGTCGGCCTCTATATAGACGTTCGGAGGGACAAAACAGCTTCTGAGAAACAGTCTCACAGCTTGGATAACCCTGTCCGCCAGCACCACGACTTCTGCACCGCTGCCGGATATTGGTATTGGCATAGCTTGAAAGGAAGATAGAATTGCTGCCGCTCAGGGACGCTAGATAGGCAAAGGAGTCTTTGTCATATTTAGCGAGACTCTGGGGTTCATACAATACTACCTTGCATCGCAGAAGTGACAAGGCTGACACTTTACTTCAGGCAATGAGCACATTACACTCGCTTAACCTGGTTGCGAGGCGTTTCCGACCACACTCTGCATACGTGCGAACTGGCGAACCATGGGGAATCAGCAGACATTGGCGTTTCGGCACTTCGCAGAAAGATCTGCTCCAAACAGTTCTCTTCATGGTTGTCGTATAAGAACCTCAAATCCTGATTCGGGCTTGGCTAGACCTATCACATCAAGAGATCCTGGATCCATCCACTCATCGCAGTCCGGGCGACGGGCGTCAGGAGTATTCCATGTCAGCCTACGGTTATGCCAGCGCGCTGGCCGCCTAACGAGGAAACGAAGTCCGATCTCAACGTTTGTGAAGGCTGAAGCACACCCTAAGCCTTTGAGAAGGACTACTCTGGATGTTACAATGGCTGGAAGCCAGAATCCGCGTGTCAAGATAATGGTTCATGCACATGAAGATTGAGACTTGTATCAGACCATCGGTAATATCCTCAGCTCTTAGGATTTATGTTGTAATGAATAGGAAGGCAAACTATTGGGTATGAATCATTTCGAAAATACCAACGAGTATGGCTTCGAGGATGCATCGGCCCATCACCCTCAGCAGGATACCAGATCCTTTGCCGAGCCAAAATCTGCCTCTGTTTTCTACGGGTTCTCTTAGATTATGTCGCAGCGAGCTTGACTTTGGCCACGAGGGCATCCTAATTGGGAAAACCGGGCGGAGTAGGTTCTGGCCAGTGTAATGGCTGGGACTTATCACCCCAACACGCAGTCGGTCCATGACACCTCCCAAGCATATATCATGTGCCGCAAGATGCATGAGAGGCTGGTCATTTGCATTAGAATAAGCTACAGTGATAAGGATAAATTCCAAATACTGTCATGTATTCAAATAGAAGTAAGATTCACTTGACTGCTCTGGGTAGATACGAACCAGGGCAACGAGGGTAACCAATTTGACGACACCATGGTCACCGGAATACTGATGGGAACTTCAAAGATCACTCGGGTGGGCAGCAACTACTCTTTACCCGTCTAGATGTGGCCTTATCATCATGACTTATGGGGCCTAAAGTAACAAATTCGACAGAATGGATTAATTCATTCGCATCCATGCTAGAGAAACACAATTTATTACTTTATGAATCAGGACAGGGAGCTATATCCTACACACACACCCGATTTTGCTTGAAATAAAAAGACTCCTTGCTGCCCACCACTGAAAGACCGTCGTTACCTTGATTTATCCCCGGACCCTTTTCTCCGCCAAGCCTTCATTTCACCCGTCCCTTCCCCTTCCTCCTCTGGATCTCAATTCCCTGTGTCTTCAGTCCTTTCAACACCGTCGGTAAATCTTCGAGCCTCATGATAGCGATTACTGGCCTATTAGTAGATGATAGTGCTTGTCCGCCTTTTCCGAGAATGATAGGGAAAGTGGGAGTGGCCTCCCTACCATCGGCCTTCTTAGACCGCTTGATGAGATCAGCGATATTACGAGGATACATTTTGGTCAGAAGCTTCTTTTTCATAGCAATCAACTGATCTCTAGAAATTCGCATTTGGGAACTAATTCATTTGTCCTGTGGCGGCGTGGGATGGTTAGCAACTTACGTATCTACTTTGTGATCGATTGGATCGCACTAGTCCAGCGATTGGAGGGCAATTACCCGGTTCAATCCAAGAAGACCAATAGACTCTTTCAAACTCGCAGTGTTCTTTCTCGTTTGTTTCTCCGACACGCTTTTCTTTCTGTCGGGCCAGCGTCGTTCCGCCGTGTGGTTGTCCAGATTCTTCTTCAAGCCGCTGATATGTTGGCTGCTTAGCTTGGCGTGCTTGATGATCTTCTTCTTGACATCAGAGCTCGTTTAATCCGTTTTGGCGAAGGACTTTGCACTGGTTACGGCGCCTAGAAGTTCTCGAAGCTTCTCTTTCAGCCGCCCGGTCTTGTCATGTGTGCAGGAACAGGTGTCGTTACAGGAATCCAGGGCGACTAGAGCTCTACTGCCTTGGTTCACCAGCTCGGCGATGTCGTAAATACCAACGGTTAAACGAACACGAGGCATGGAGGGCGAGGTATATCGAAGACTAAGCTTTCAATTCATCTCGCAAGGGAGTATCAGAGTGGTGCGCGTTTGCGAGCCCAGTCGAATGACTTGGAAGTCGGTGTGTGAAGAGAAACTGACCGAAGATGCTCGAACATTGTCTGCGGGATTATTGCCAGTATATACGTTTTCAGCTTTTATTCAATATGACACCTGTTCAAAGATTGTGATTTGCAGAACCACGAAGCATGGTCGGATTATCATACAATTCGCTGCCACCTCGCAGAGCGACGTACTGATATCAACTCCCACTCGCTGAACTCGCATACCATGGATTCGTTCCCGACCTCGTTTCGAAGCGCATGACTTGGGCGCCTTGAGCTGCGGTTGCCTTAAAAGGGCTGAGTATTGCGTCACTGCACACCCATACACATTCACAACACATCTTGATGGAAGATTCTCTGCTACTCAAGATCCTTCCATTTGGACCTCATTGCAAGGTGGGCGATTCGTCTCGAGCACATCACACTCGATCGAGATATCAACTTCATGCTTTGGATACCTTGATTCGGAGCTCTCCAGACACAGAAGGAACCTCTTTCATGCTATCTTAGTCACGACATTCTCAGAAATAGGCGTGTTGGCAGATAAGGGGAAAGATACGTAGGAGACGTGTGTCGAGAACATGAGGTTCAAACCCGCTCGGAGAGTGATAACATCGACAACAATCAAGGACCTTCCAGGGGAACCAAACAGAGAAATGGTACAAAGTGCCGACCACGAGACTGCAATCAGCTCATTTTCAGGGAAACTGCTGGCTTACTGTCTGATTATGTACGGTACTTTCTGATAGAGATAGAGTGAGAGCAGCCGCCGTCAAAGTCCGAAGGAGGTCGAGGGGCAACAGCGGTAGAAAGCACGCAACTCACGCGAACCATAACCAAATTTATCAGAGGGCCGAAACTCCGGATCGGGCTGGGAAATAAGCTAGCAAGGCACTTCGTGGGGTTGATCTTCACC